ATTGGTAATGATTACCTATTTCTGTATATAAAGTTGTCTTTTTTATATAAGGATCTGTATTAAGATGCAAGATAATTGTTAAAACAAAAAAACATGAAGTAGATAATCATGGATCTCGACCATACCCCTGGCAATGGGGGGGGTCCGTGCTTTATTACTGAGCTAGGAGATTTTTCCAAAAGCAGGATTTCAGAGCAGAACTTTTCTTCATGCTCCGTCAACGGTCACCATTGTACCTACGTCTTTTCCCACAGCAGTAGAGGCTTCACAGTAAATTTATTTCATCCCCTTTAGAGCGTTGACAGTGTGTATTAAGACTTATGTTGGACTTTTATAGCGCTTTGGCTTCAGGGGTATAAAAAATAGATTGAGTATAAAGATTCTGGAGAAACCACTGTCGGTTGATTTTTTCGCGCTCATCCCTAGTGCTGCCAGTGGCGTGGGCCTACCTACCTAGAGTTACTTCACCGCCCCTCCCAAGTCCTCACTGGGGCGCCAAACCATTTGCAGCAAGTCCCCTCTTGTCTCTCTTCTTTAGGCGGGCCTGGAAGCTACAAAAACCAACGGTACTTATTGCCCAGAAAAGCTAAGGCTCGCCTAAAAAAAAGTTCTTTAAATTCCCCAAAAAATACTACTGTTATCGGTAACACAGGTTTCCGCACTTGGTCCTTTTCTTTAATATTGTCGGTAATTCTCCAACTTTATTAACGAAGTTGGAAGGCACACTTCATTTCCCCTACAAGTAGGTCCGTCTACCAAAAGGTATTCGTGTTATGCTCCAAAAAAGTCATACCAACCCAAAAATAGTCAGGGTTTTTCCCAAAACGCAAATTTCCTCGGGAAACTTCAAAGTGTAAAAGGGTCCCTTTCAGCCTCCCCTGCTTCCAAAATCAGTGTTTGGGGTCACCTGTAATTTTGGGTTGTGTTTCTGCTTTCCCCATTTAACACGACAGAAGTGAGTCTAGTGGTGGTTTTGTCCCCGGGGGGGAGTTGCCCCGTTAGGTGCTCTTTTGTAAGCTCCACTTTTTCCCCCTCGGGCTACCCTGCCCGCGTTCACCACAAAACCCCTTCCATAATTCCCGTAAAATTTTGAGCGAAGCACCGGTTACAAGCTACGTGGATCGCAAAGTCCGGGAACCAGCCCGTGGTTGCTTTACATGGTCACTAACCCGTGGTCGTCCAAGCCAATGGCTAAGCTACATGAGGATTTACATAGCTGGGTACCATTGTTCCAAAGCTAATTTACTATGATGTGAGTTTAATGTGTTTTCTTGTGTGCTACCCTCAACGTATTTTGTCCTGTAGAGCAGCCAGCTTCCAAATACGTGTCCTGAGCGCAGGTTGACTGAGCGACCTGCAATCTGTATGTTCACCCACACACACATGACTCCAAAGAGACCTGGACAGGCTGGACACGTACTCCAGCAACTGGCTACTCGAATAACCCAGCCAAATGCAAAGTCATGAAGATCGGGGAAGGGTAAAGAAGAACGCAGAGTATAGGCTAGGTGGCCAAAGATTGTAAACCTCACTCAAGGAAAAAGATCTTGAGAAGATTATAATACCGAGCACATCTCCGGAAGCACACATCAACCAGATAACTGCTGCAGCATATGGGCTCCTGGCAAACCCGAGAATAGCGTTCCGATACCTCAGTAAGAAATCATTCAAGACACTGTACACCGTGTACGTCAAGCCCATACTGGAGTATGCAGCACCAGTTTGGAACCCACACCTGGTCAAGCAAGTCAAGAAATTAGAGAAAGTGCAAAGGTTTACAACAAGGTTAGTTCCAGATTTAAGGAAAAGTTAAGAAAGGTTTAGGGAAATAGGCCTGACGACACTGGAGAGCAGGAGGGTTAAGGGAGATATGATAACGACATACAAAGTATTGCGAGGAATAGATAAGGTGGACAGAGACAGGATGTTCCAGAGATGGGACACAGAAACAAAGGGTCACAATTGAAAGTTGAAGGCTCAGATGAGTCAAAGAGATGTTAGGAAGTATTTCTTCAGTCACAGAGTAGTTAGGAAGTGGAATAGTCTGGAAAGTAAGGTAGTGGAGGCAGGAACCATACATAGCTTTAAGACGAGGTATGATAAAGCTCATGGAGCAGGGAGAGAAGGGACTTAGTAGCGATCAGTGAAAAGGCGGGGCCAGGAGCTGTGTCTCGCCCTCTGCAACCACAAGTAGGTGAGTACAAATAGGCGAGTGCAGAGTTGTCAGGAAGTGGAATAGTCTGGGAAGTAATGTTGCTGAGGCAGGATCCATACCTAACTTTAAGAAGAGGTATGATAAAGCTCATGGAGCAGGAAGAGTGACCTAGTAGCGACCAGTGAAGAGGTGGGGCCAGGAGCCGTGACTCCGCTCCTGCAACCACAATTAGGTGAGTACACACACACGCATACACACACGCACACACACACGCACACACACACACACACACGCACACACACACACGCACACACAACACACACGCACACACACACACACAACACCACACACACCACACACACACACACACACACACACACACACACACACACACACACACACACACACACACACACTCACACACAGGAAAGAAGGTGGAGAACTCACAAGAAACGATCAAGAGGTATGCGAGGAGCTCAACATGAGATTTAAGGAAGTAATTACAGTGGAGACAGGAAGGCCTCTGGGGGAACAGACCAGATGGGGACACCAGCAAGGAATATACCAACAAGTGTTGGATGACATAAATACAAATGAGGAGGAGGTGAAGAAGCTGCTAAGGGACATCGTTACCTCAAAGGCAATGGGACCGGACATCTCCCCGTGGGTCCTTAGAAAGGGAGCGGATATGTTGTGTGTACTACTTACCACAATGTTCAACATATCCCTGGAAACTGGGCAACTACCTGAGGTATGGAAGACGGCAAATGTAGTTCCCATTTTTAAAAAAGGAGACAGAAAAGAAGCACTAAACTATAGACCTGTGTCACTGACGTGTATAGTATGCAAAGTTATGGAGACGATTATCAGGAGGAGAGTGGTGGAGCACCTGGAACGGGACAATAGCATAAATGCCAACCAGCATGGATTCATGGAAGACAAGTCCTGTGCCACAAACCTTCTGGAGTTTTATGATAAAGTAACAGAAGTAAGACACGAGAGAGAGGGTGGGTTGATTGCATCTTCTTGGACTACTAGAAGGTCTTTGACACAGTTCCTCACAAGAGATTAGTGCAGAAGCTAGAGGATCAGGCGCATATAAAAGGAAGGGCACTGCAATGGATCAGAGAATACCTGACAGGGAGGCAACAACGAGTCATGGTGCGTAATGAGGTATCACAGTGGGCACCTGTGACGAGCGGGGTCCCACAGGGGTCGGTCCTAGGACTAGTGCTGTTTTTGGTATATGTGAACGACATGATGGAAGAGTTAGACTCAGAAGTGTCCCTGTTCGCAGGCGATGTGAAGTTAATGAGGTGAATTAAATCAGATGAGGATCAGGCAGGACTTCAAAGAGACCTGGACAGGCTGGACACGTGATCCAGCAACTGGCTTCTCGAATTTAACCCCGCCAAATGCAAAGTCATGAAAGGGGTACAGAAGACCGCAGACGGAGTATAGGCTAGGTTGCCAAAGACTGCAAACCTCGCTAAACGAGAAAGATCTTGGGGTGAGTATAACACCGAGCATGTCTCCGGAAGCAGACATCAACCAGATAACTGCTGCAGCATATGGGCTCCTGGCAAACCTGAGAACAGCGTTCCGATACCTTAGCAAGGAATCGTTCAAGACACTGTACACCGTGTACGTCAGGCCCATACTGGAGTATGCAGCACCTGTTTGGAACCCGCACTTGATCAAGCACGTCAAGAAATTAGAGAAAGTGCAAAGGTTTGTAACAAGGTTAGTTCCAGAGCTAAGGGGAATGTCCTATGAAGAAAGGTTAAGGGAAATCGGCCTGACGACAGTGGAGGACAGGAGGGTCAGGGGAGACATGATAACGACATATAAAATACTGCGCAGAATAGACAAGGTGGACAAAGACAAAGGGTGTTCCAGGGAGGGGACACAGAAACAAGGGGTCACAATTGGAAGTTGAAGACTCAGATGAGTCAAAGGGATGTTAGGAAGTATTTCTTCAGTCATCGAGTTTTCAGGCAGTGGAATAGCCTAGAAAGTGACGTAGTGGAGGCGGGAACCATACATAGTTTTAAGACGAGGTTTGATAAAGCTCATGGAGCAGGGAGAGAGAGGACCCAGTAGCAACCGGTGAAGAGGCGGGGCCAGGAGCTAAGACTTGACCCCTGCAACCACAAATAGGTGAGTACACACACACACACACACACCACACACACATTATCAAGATCTCACGTCCCTACGCTTCGGTGTTAGTTTGCTGTTGTCTATGCTTCTACGACGTCACAGAATGACATCACTAGAACGTCACCTCAACGTCACGCCCGACGTCACACCATGATGCCACACCGTCAATAATCTGTAGTAAGACTAAGAGAGGAAATGTTGAAGTGTTCAGTTTCCCCAGTCAGCCGTCAGCATTTCTGGGGGATTTTTTTATCAAAAGTATTTTTAAATACAACTTTGATATCTAAAAGAGAAGGAGTTTGGAACAAGTTTTCATGTTAAGTGAGGACCAACATATTTTTAATTAAATAAGGTTGGTTGTCCCTTGGATATTTTAGATCAAATTATGCGTATCTAATATGTTAATCTCTAGGAACTTTCGTTCATGTTGCTGAGAACTGAGAGGCTGTCTTACTGTTATGTCACATTTCTGCGCAAAGAATATCTTACTAAAAACAACCACTGTGCTCTATAATGAGAGGTCGAGAAGGTAAATAATATTTTCTTAGTTATTCAGTAAAGAAGATTTGTTTTACTGGGACTACAGTTACTGATTTGACCCACTTATTCTATGCAGGTGTATCAGTGTGGAATGTACCAAATTCTCACTCTGTCATTAGCCACTGGGGCTTGTTGACTTGAGTGTCCTATAATATTTTGTTGCTACAGTTTGGTGTACACGAATGCCACGCTGATGGAGACGTTCCGCTTTAGGTGTCCAACACCAATAACTGTACCTCATAGGGCCCTCACAGACACCGAATTGCAGGTAAGTACTTCACTTTTTTTCTTATTCAGAGACAAAATGTTTTCTACCTTGCATTTACTCCTATTGATGAATGAAAAATCTGCCTCTGCTGTCCTCACTATACCCCTTAGAGACTTCATTTGGCCTCTTAGTACTCTCATTATTCTATAGTTTACAGTACTCTGTACCACAGTACTCTGTCTGCCCCAGTAATCTTTGGCAATAATGGCATCACTCTGAAGAGGTAGCGGATGATACGCTGATCTGTCTTTAAATTTGTTGTCATTATGACCACACACAGGGTCACAGGATCCCAGCCGGGACAGTGGTGCTTAACAACATCTACAGTGTCCACGTTGATCCAGAGTACTGGGGTGATCCACATACTTTCCGCCCAGAGCGGTTCATCAACCCCGACGGATCGCTGCGTGTGGACGAGCGCCTCATTCCCTTCGGCAAAGGTAACTCTTATTGCTAGTGTTGAGGTTTAGCTGCAAAGATATTTTTCTTTTAAAAAATATTGTTACTAGCAGCTATGACAGCAGTCTTGTATTCACTGTGTACTTTATTAGTGACATTAATTGTTTCCTGTATTGTGTTGGAAATAAGTAACATCATTATAATGTGTAATAATGTTCAACATCGAAGCCTCGATTTATATATATACTGTAAACCCACTAAGAATTTATTTTCTTTTACAAATAGATTTCGGGCGAGTTACAGACTTCTTGACGATAAAAAATATTATCACAATGTGGCATGTGTATTTGTTTCATATGTTGTTCTTGTATTTGTAATATATTACAGCACATTCCATGTATCCTTCACACTCTTTCTGTTCCCCAGGAAATCGATCGTGTTTAGGAGAATCACTGGCCAGGATGGAAACGTTCCTGTTATTCTCATCGCTCATGCATCACTTCACCTTCACTCTTGACCCCACAGTCCCTGTCTCAGACACAGAAGGCAAGATGGGCCTCACACTCGCACCTCCACAGTTCAGAGTCTTCGCCAAAGCCAGGGTGTAATGTTCAGATTC